AGACAACGGTCACTCTGTGATCAGGAATGGAACAGTATTGTCTTTAGTGACGAGTCTCGATTTTGTTTAGGCATGCACGATGGTCGTGCCAGGGTTAGAAGGCGACGTGATGAAAGGAGGAATCCGCAGTTTTTTGTTGAAAGACATGTTCATCACACTGTTGGAGTTATGGTTTGGGGTGCTATAGCTTATGGTTCCAGGTCACCTTTAATCTTCATCAGAGGTAACACGAACGCGCAGCGTTATATCCACGAAGTTCTAGAACCCCATCTTTTACGCTATCTTGACACCCTGGCAGATCCAACTTTCCAACAAGATAATGCCCGGCCACATGTTGCAAAAGTCACAATAGACTTCTTTCAACATAATGATGTCACATTGTTACCATGGCCACCAAGATCTCCCGACTTATCCCCAATTGAGCACGTGTGGGATATGATGGGTAGGAGATTGCTCAATTTGCAACGTCCTCCTCAGACTCTAGAAGCACTTCGAGAGGAGTTGGTGATTGCCTGGAATGAGATACCACAGGAGGACATTGACCATCTGATCACAAGCATGCCTAGGCGCGTTGGAGAATGCGTAGCACATCAGGATGCATCCACACATTATTAAAGATCAAAGGGCTTTAAAGCAGTGCAATCGTTTTGAAATTTTTATCATTTACTTATTATGCTTCATTAAGTACTTATACAAAATTTTATTAAAATAAAACCATTTAAACTGGGTGTTCGGATTTATATGTATATTTGCACACTCGGAACTATCTATACCCCATTCGTAGTCCATTTACGCTCAGACAAAGCAACATGCCCAAAAGCGAGATTGTACAGGTCCGTATTTTCCTCAGTGGTCTTGGAATAATCTTACAAAATAAATGATTATTTTTATAGAAGGAAGTGCACATACTTTTCACAGGTCCTTATTCGCAGGTTCAGTTTGAAGCTTTGACCATATTTTCATTCAAACTAATGTCGTTTGATAGGAGCCATTGTTGAATTTCTGTCTTTCTTTTGAACATTGCGAGAATTTTTTCTAGTTTTCTAGTGTGGTATGCAGTATTGTCAAGTACAATGACGGCGAAGCTTTGGGAGCGTTTCTTCAAACCATCGTTCAAATGAACTCCCGCCCATGTCCTGCATTTATCCAGGTTTCATCCAAGTAATAAATCTTCCTGGCCTGGTCGCGGTATTTCTTTATTGATTTTTTCTCCATAAAATAAACTCTTGGCTATCCCTAAAAATACTATTTCTGCCCCGTTTTCTGTACTCAAAATTAAGTTCTGTGAGTAAACTATCGAATGTGGTCATTTTGAAAGTAAGTAAGTCTTCATCACTATTAACCTCCTGTAATACTTCGTCTATGGTGGGAAGTTCTTTTGTTTTTTTTTATATTCTTTAACAATGTTGAAAATTTTCTTAGGATGTAAGCCTGTTTCTTTTGCCTGAACATCCAAATGTTCCTTCTTGTCACGCTTTCGGGGAAGGGACGTCACTGAAGAGGAAGCATGGCTGAAGGAAGCATTGGGAGAAATATTCTCAGTTCCATCTGGTGCATCCCTAGACGACATGCTAACGTATTGCAGCGTTTTTCTGGGTTCTTTTGGGTGTGGATTAAAACACTGGATCCCACAAAAAGAAATGCACTAATTTATCTAACTTGATAGATCATTTATATACATGACTATTTATGTCTGACTAATACTTATGTCGCCATTGGCTGCACTATACTCCACTCCGCTCTGCTCTGGTGTAATCTGTACTCTCTACTTCCATCTCCCGCCCGCAGAGTTATATATAGTCCCAATTGCTGCTTCGAGAAAGGCCGGGTGAGCCACAAAGCGACATCTAGAATATTGGAGGTCACTTCGCGTCGATCTAGAAGGCGACCCACCGTCACGGTCCTCACAGACGCTGCCAAGCGGCTTGTGCGGTCGTGGTTCGCGTAAAAGTAGAAACCGGCCATTAAACTCTGGCGAGTAGGAGGCTCGCCCAACAGATGGCGCCAACAGAACTATTTGTATAAACACACGTTATGCATGCACCGAATATGAACTGCAACTGCTGGCGTCGGCGGGCCGGCGATACCCCGAGCCTGAGTTCTATCCTGTCGAATCCTGCACTTGCACGTAGTTTCATGGCCAATAGCTATTGCAACGCTTAGGCGGCTGTCGCGCTGCAACTTTGTTGTCCTGGGACGTAAATAGACTACGAATAGGGTATAGGCAGCAAGTTGGCATTTTGTCTAATGTCATTTGATAGGAGCCATTGTTGAATTTCTGTCTTTCTTTTGAACATTGCGGGATTTTTTTCTAGTTTTCTAGTGTGGTATGCAGTACTATCAAGTACAATGACGGCGAAGCTTTGGGAGCGTTTCTTCAAACCATCGTTCAAATGAACTCCCGCCCATGTCCTGCATTTATCCAGGTTTCATCCAAGTAATAAATCTTCCTGGCCTGGTCGCGGTATTTCTTTATTGATTTTTTCACATAAAATAATCTCTTGGCTATCCCTAAAAATACTATTTCTACCCCGTTTTCTGTACTCAAAATTAAGTTCTGTGAGTAAACTATTGAATGTGGTCATTTTGAAAGTAAGTAAGTCTTCATCACTATTAACCTCCTGTAATACTTCGTCTATAGTGGGAAGTTCTTCTGTTTTTTTTTATATTCTTTAACAATGTTGAAAATTTTCTTAGGACATAAGCCTGTTTTGTTCGCCACACGTCTTTCTAAAGGGTGTCCCAAAATTAACGCAAGATTTGAATTAAATAGAAAATGCCATTTTTAGTCTTTTAATAGTTATATTTTTATTGACTCATAAAGTACATAGGATAGGGTTATGTATGGAATAACACATCGGACAAATGGCCTCCACGGCTTTGCATGCACATGCGCACTCTTTTGTCGAAATTTTCCATGACCCTTCTGCATAAATGTGGCTGAATTTCGTTGATGCAGCGTTGAATCTCCTCCTTTAATGCACGGGTGGTTGTGGGCTTGTTGACATAGACTTGTGATTTCAAATAACCCCATAAAAAGAAGTCTAATGGTGTTAAATCACACGATCTAGGAGGCCAATTTTGATCACCGAAACGAGAGAGTACACGACCGGGAAATGTCTCATGCAGTAATTGAATTGTTTCACGGGCTGTATGACATGTGGCACCGTCTTGTTGAAACCACATATTGGGTACATCAATATCATTCAATTTTGGCAGAAAGAACTGTGTAATCATGTCGCGATATCGAGCACCAGTAACAGTCACTGCTTGACCAGCATCATTTTCAAAAAAATATGGCCCAATTATGCCTCCAGCCCAAAATCCACACCAGACAGTCACGCGTTGTGGGTGCATTTCTTTTTCGACAATCACACGTGGGTTCTCCGAACCCCAAATGCGGCAATTTTGGCGATTGACAAAGCCATCAAGATGAAAATGTGCTTCATCGCTTAGGATGATTTTGCTTGAAAAATCAGGGTCCATTTGTTGATGTTCAATAATCCATTCAACAAACTCTCTTCTCTCTGCATGGTCATTAAGCTTCAATTGTTGTGTTAATTGAAGTTTGTAAGCATGAAGACACAGATCTTTGGTGAGTATACGCTGTAGAGAGGTTCTTGACATTTGCAATTCTTGTCCACGACGTCGAATTGAGGTTCCTGGATTGTCCGCAACACTCTCACGCACTGCTTCGATATTCACATTTGAACGGCTTGTTTTTGGACGACCAGTGTGTTTGGCGTCTCCAACGGATCCAGTCTCCATGAATTTTTCAATTAATCTCTTCACAGTTGACGAAGTTAAAACACTATTCCGGCCATATTTTGTATGAAATTTTCGAACTGCAGCCGCCAAGCTTTCACTATTTTTGAAATATTCTTTAATAATGAAGACACGTTGTTCTATCGTGTAACGCTCCATTTTTCATAACCCTATACTGTTAGCTGTCAAATTGCTTTTTTTCAGGGTTGCCATCACTTCACTGCACAAATGGCGGCAAATTCAAATCTTGCGTTAATTTTGGGACACCCTTTATATCATGAATTTCATTCCAGGATGCTCTAAAATTTCGCTCGTATAAACGTTAAGGACTATTTCTTTTGCCTGAACATCCAAATGTTCCTTCTTGTCACGCTTTCGGGGAAGGGACGTCACTGAAGACGAAGCATGGCTGAAGGAAGCATTGGGAGAAATATTCTCAGTTCCATCTGGTGCATCCCTAGACGACATGCTAACGTATTGTATCGTTTTTCTGGGTTCTTTTGGATGTGGATTAAAACACTGGATCCCACAAAAAGAAATGCACTAATTTATTTAACTTGATAGAACATTTATATACACCACTGACTAATTCTTATATCGCCATTGACTGCACTATACTCCACTCCGCTCCGCTCTGGTGTAATCTGTACTCTCTGCTTTCATCTCCCGCCCGCAGAGTTATATATAGTCCCAATTGCTGCTTCGAGAAAGGCCGGGTGAGCCACAAAGCGACATCCAAAATATTGGAGGTCACTTCGCGTCGATGTAGAAGGCGAGCCACTGTCACGGTCCTCACAGACGCCGCCAAGCGGCTTGTGCGGTCGTGGTTCGCGTGAAAGCAGAAACCGGCCATTAAACTCTGGCGAGTAGGAGGCTCGCCCAACAGATGGCGCCAACAGAACTATTTGTCACAGTATAAACACGCGCTATGCATGCACCGAATATGAACTGCAACTGCCGGCGTCGGCGGGCCGGCGATACCCCGAGCCTGAGTTCTATCCTGTCGAATCCTGCACTTGCTCGTAGTTGGCCAATAGCTATTGCAACGCTTAGGCGGCTGCCGCGCTGCAACTTTGTTGTCCTGGGACGTAAATGGACTACGAATAGGGTATAGGCAGCAAGTTGACAATTTGTCGGTTTTTTTGGACGTTTTATAGGTTATTTGCGATCTTAGAATAATATAATTTGCAATACGTTATTCTGATACTATTCCCTAATCGGTTTTTCTTTTGTTTATAGGTCAGGGCGACTGGAAAAATGTACGCTTGTAAGAAGTTGGAAAAAAAGAGGATTAAGAAACGGAAAGGAGAAGCTATGGTACTAATAGAAAAACAAATATTACAAAAGATTAATTCAAGGTGAGTTTTTATCAATAATATGATGTCGGTAGTCTCTTGATCTTCCAAATGCATGACTAAAGTGTACACCTGGTGAATTTTGATATTTGGAGCTATTACAGGAAAATCTCAAAATATACTGATTCAGGAGTTTTCTTGCAGTAATGTAAGTCGTACCTTCAAACAACCAGAAATTATTAGGATTTTGCTTGACTTTTTATTAGTTTTTCTTTTTTTTTACGGGCCAAAAATTACCCTAATCCTCCATATTTGCCTGGCCAATCGAAAGCGCATATGTCGGAAAAATGCTCTTTATTTTAAACGTGTCGGTCACAACAGCGACCTTCTTCAGTAAAATAACTTTGGTAATATATACTAAGTGACATATAAATCCGAACAGCCAGTTTAAATGGTTTTATTTTAATAAAAGTTGGTGAATGTATTTATCTTACTGTAAATAACAAGTGAAAAAATTTTCAGCCTTATCAGTTGGACATTCCGGTTTTTATACTGCTTTTTTTTTAATTCACTAACGGTTACGATGCCTAGAGTACGGAGACCTGTACGATTTCGTCAACTTAGTGAGTTTGATAGGAGCCGTATAGTGGGACTTCGGGAAGCTGGACTTTCGGACAATTGCAGTTAGAGTGCAAAGAAGTGTAGACACTGTGGTTAGGTGTTGTCAGGCATGGCTTCGAGAAGGGCGTACGCAAAGAGCAAGGGGCACTGGACGCCGCCGTAGAACAACAGACCGTGAACATCGCCGCCTAAGATTATTGGCCTTAAGGGACCGTTTCTCCACTACCAGGTCCATTGCAAATGCATGGTTTGCAGAACACGGAAGACATATTGGCATGCGATGTGTTTACCGACGAATGAGAAGTTTTGGCTTGTTTTCATACCGGCCACACTGGATCCTCCCTTTAACTCGAGAACTCCGACGTAATCGCCTTGAGTGGTGCAGACAACGGTCACTCTGGGATCAGGAATGGAACAGTATTGTCTTTAGTGACGAGTCTCGATTTTGTTTAGGCATGCACGATGGTCGTGCCAGGGTTAGAAGGCGACGTGGTGAAAGGAGGAATCCACAGTTTTTTGTTGAAAGACATGTTCATCACACTGTTGGAGTTATGGTTTGGGGTGCTATAGCTTATGGTTCCAGGTCACCTTTAATCTTCATCAGAGGTAACATGAACGCGCAGCGTTATATCCACGAAGTTCTAGAACCCCATCTTTTACCCTATCTTGACACCCTGGCAGATCCAACTTTCCAACAAGATAATGCCCGACCACATGTTGCAAGAGTCACAATAGACTTCTTTCAACATAATGATGTCACATTGTTACTATGGCCACCAAGATCTCCCGACTTATCCCCAATTCAGCACGTGTGGGATATGATGGGTAGGAGATTGCTCAATTTGCAACGTCCTCCTCAGACTCTAGAAGCAGTTCGAGAGGAGTTGGTGGTTGCCTGGAATGAGATACCACAGGAGGACATTGACCACCTGATCAGAAGCATACCTAGGCGCGTTGGAGAATGCGTAGCACATCAGGGTGCATCTACACATTATTAAAGGTCAAAGGGCTTTAAAGCAGTGCAATCATTTTGAAATTTTTATCATTTACTTATTATGCTTCATTAAGTACTTATACAAAACTTTATTAAAATAAAACCATTTAAACTGGGTGTCCGGATTTATATGTCACTTAGTATATTTTATTAATTTGTCTTCCAGGTGTCTTTTCCCTTTCATTTTCATATTCCTATACAGTGTATTACTACAATATCGTGGAAGGTCCTATAACATGCTGATATTGCGCGGCGCCATCATTTCAAATTTTAAGATGTCGCCACGCAAAATCAGCCTAGCCCAGCACCGTATGGGGTAGGCATTCCCGTTACCAAAAAAAGACGTCCAGCTCTCCAAAACGACAAGCGAGAACGAGGTTATCAGTCGTTTCACTTTTTTTAATGTACCAGATACGTCACCCTCGGCCATCGCCCCGAAGACGCCAAAAGCTCTCCAAAAAGACACGAAAACCTACCCAGAATTGTTGTCGTAACGCAAGGGTTAATTGTTGTGCAATATTCGACTGAAATGTTGGAAATGCATTGTTTGTGGAGCTGAAACGCGAGAAATAGTACTTCGGCATTTATAGTGAACTGTGTTGTTTGTTCTGTAAGAAAATAACAACACATAAAAACACGACAGATAACCTAATGCTCGATTGTCGTTTTGGTTGGTGTCATAAGTGTTCTAGCATTACGTTTCTAACGGTTTGACACCCGATTGTGAACTGATTCAACGTGCATGTGTTGTCAAAGGACTTGTTTCAAACTGTTTAAAACTCGATGCTACTACAGTATATTCAGATAAGAGATAGACCGGACATAAACAAGACCACGTGATCATCGAACGCTGTAACATTCGGCAGGGACGTATTAAGAGTCACGCAGTACATATTTTAGATAGTAGATGCTGCTTTGCGTAACTTTGTAGTAAATTAGCACAATTCGATGTGTATAAGATTGGTGATGGATATAGGATCATGTGGGGGTGGGGTAAGACATATATAATGATGTAAATATACATAAGGGTTTCAAAATTTTCGCTTCGATTTCCAGTTTCGGATGCCGCCTGATGTTTGGTGAAATACAGTCGAATATAATCTCAAAATGGCGTTTAAATTAGCCTAAATGAAAAATAATCGTATATCTCTTAAAATTGCTTTTAGAATATTGATTAATATATTTTTTGATTTCTAGGTAAATATGTAACCAAATTAAAACGTTCAAAACGTAAAAAAATGTGCATGGTTGAACATTGTCAGAAAATAGATTCTTGAATAGGTTTTGCCAAAATGGGTTCAAAAATGTCAATAATTAATTAAAAAATACAGTAGCTTTATAATTACTTATAACTTACCAAATTTGATTAACGACATCTTTTATTGGAAAGATGAGCTTGATGAGCTTTCATCATCGCTACTGCCTGAAGCACCAACGTCAATAATGAATGGCTCGACTTGTTCCTCTAAAATATTGTCCAGTTCCCACATTCTCTTTTCAACTTTGTCTTTCACGTGCTTAATACAGTTTTCCCATTTTTGCGCTGTTATTAATTCTAGTGCTTCTTTGAAAAGTCCTTTGAGGTCACAAAATTTAAAAGTTGTATTGTGCTTAGCTATATAATTTTTAACCTCTGCCCATATGAGCTCAATGGGATTGAGCTCGCAATGGTATGGAGGTAAACGGAGCACAGTTTTATTTTGACTTGCTGCCATTTCGTCAATGGCGTATTTTTGATATTCCGCCTTGTGATCCTTGACAATTCTTAATAATTGTACTTTCAGCATTGCTTCTTCAAAGTTGATATTTTTCGAGCGGAGCCAATTTTGAACATCAACTTTCCTTGAAGCCGTTGTTGGGACCTTCTCCATTCTTCGAGAATGATAAGGCGCATTATCCAACCAATTACTGCGTTTTCCTCTAAGTTCGGTAAAATTTTTGAAAACCACTGTTCAAACGATTCGCCATTCATTTCCTCGTGGTAATCTCCAGTTTTCTTAGACTCAAAGTACCACAGACCGTCAACAACAAATCCATCCTCACTGCCAATATGGCAGATAATGAGCCTTTTCCCTTTACCTGGAAATCGAAGTACTAACTGGTGTAGATTTATTTCAATAAGCGAACCTTTTTCAAATGTTTTCATCACATTCAGCGAAAAAACATTGAGACATGAGTATCAGATTGCTATAATTGGGATTATTTAGTCATATTGAAAGAAAGAATATTGAACGTCGTATGATTACTCAGCGCTCCACAATTTAATTTAAAGTTATAAACCTTTAAAAAATGAATGATCAGGAACCTGAAATACGCGCAAATATTAATATTAACAAATTATAACTTTATAAAGCTTAAAGTATGAATTAAAATGATTAGAAATATTAGGAACGGTACACAATATAAAACTTAGTAACTTTTTTTAAGTTTATAATATTCGACATATTTTAAGATTATATTAAAAAATTATTGAAATATCGAAAACACATAAAAACATGACTTAAAAAAGTTCTAACAAATGAAAATGACAATAAAACATCCACGCATTTTATCGAAAGTTATAAAAGTTTTGTTACTTGTAATATGTTTTATCTGCCCCCTGGAATTAATGTTTAGAACCTTGTTCCCAAGGTTTGAAAAACATCCGATTGTTGTCTATTACTCGTATTTACCTGCTGGATTTTTTAATCCGGTGGACAGTCCATCTAGAAAGGCCTTCCTGGATGAAGTTACAGAATCATCAACCCATACTTTACTTGTAGTGTGTCCTGCGTTTACCCACGTTTCATCAAGATAATAAATCTTCCTGTTTTGATTTCTATATTTCCCAATTTTTGTTAAATAATCCCTCCTCCATAGCACAATTTCTTCTCTATCCAGTAGTAAACTATTACGACCCCGTTTTTTCCATTTGAAATTTAAATGCTTCAGTGACGCATGGAAAGTTGATCGTTTGAAATTTGGCAACGTTGTATCTCCATTTACCTCCTGCAGTACTTTATCTATAGTAGGTATTTCATTCCTAAAGAAGAATTCATGCACTTTCCTCCTAATCACATGCTTATCAGCTTCATCCAATGATTTAACAATACTTTTGCGATGTTTACTGGTCATTGGCTCAGAAAAGGTGTGATTTTATTTGTATTGTCTTAACACATTAAACACTGATGCGCGACACACCTCAACTTTGTGAGAAACCTTCACAACAATTTCTTTGACGGTTGATGCCTCGTTCTCCTCGCGCTCGATCTTATATATATTCAAAATGACCTCTTTCATTTCTGCACTCAGGTGTCTTTTTTTAGAGCGTTTCCTAGGTGGACTACAGGAGTTTACAACTTCATCGGCAGTATCTGTACTACTGGGCATTTTGCGCAAGCAGTTGATAACAATAACAATCAATAACAAGGTATAACAATAACAACGACAAACTCAACAACTTAATAAGATAACAAACGAAAACGTCCAAAGAAATATCAAATTGCAATGATGCACACGACATACGTAACACGTCTGAACCTGAATGTGACTCTGCCTTGATACGACTGCTCTGCCGCTCGGCATAGGCATTTAATTGCGAATTGACCAATGAGGGCTCCTGTTTTACGTCGAGACGGCGGCGTTAGCGTGAAAATCACCCGAACCTTTTGTTTACATCCGGTCTATCTCTTATCTGAATATACTGTAGAACACATTTTTCTTCACTTTCGTTGTGAAGAGGTACGGTTACATTTACAGGGTTTGTCCGGTAAGTAATAGGACTCTTTTTCTTCCGCCATGACTGTACTTCGGAGCGTGCGCGTACCGACTGGATTCGGTAGAGGGCGTTCCTAGCTAACGAATGAGCGGCTGGTCAGTTGTCTCCGAGTGCTTGGAGAGTCAGGACAGGCATTTTCGCGCGACTTGTTTCTGTGAATGGTGCAAGCCGAAAATGCAGCATTCGTTAGAGCAGAGGTACGCGATTATATTCTGTGTAAAACTCGGTAAATCTGCGACAGAGGCTCAATAAATTTTTTCATTGCTTTCCGGACAAACCCTGTATGTAATGTTCTTTTTTTTTTCGGAGCACTATACCTATGATTGTTCCATCATCACTCGAATCGATATCTGCGATCCAATCGGGTTCTGGACTTGAACTTTAAGAATCTCACGTGTCTGTGAGGTATACATAATACAAAACTAGTAAACACCGAATTTTGATACAAAGAGTTATCTGGCTTCAATATTTTCAATTGAAACAAACTATTCAAATTTGCGAAAAGACTAAGAAACCAGTTTTCAAACCAAAAATTGATTTGCCGAAACAGCCGATACACTGGACAACAAATTTTAGTTTTTTAATTGTATCTTGTGGAAAAAGTGCACTTCTTTGTTAATTTTGGGGCGCTGAATCCAAAAATGACAATGGCATAAAAAAAATAGTTGCGGTTTAGAAAAAAAACTTTTTATTTTTAGGGATATATTAAAAAAACTAACAAGATTCATATACTTATAAGAATCACTATATGCGCTGTCTTTTTGCTGTTCTTTTATGGATCGTTTCTGGAGCATCTCTACCAAGAGTCCAACAGTAGTCTGCAAGCATGGGAGGATTCCACTTTCCCTGGTACCTTTTTTCCATTGTTGAAATATCCTGATGAAAACGTTCGCCGTGCTCATCACTTACGGCTCCGCAATTGTCAGGAAAAAAGTCCAGATGTGAGTGTAGGAAATGTATCTTAAGAGAAATATTACAGCCCATCTTTTGATACGATGACAGCATATTTTTGACAAGGGTTTTATAGTTGTCAGCTTTTCTATTTCCCAAGAAATTAGTGACCACCAGACGGAAATCATTCCAAGCAGTTTTTTCAATACCTATTTAAGTGTTTTCAAACTGTGTATCTTTCAAAATATTTCGAATCTGTGGCCCAACAAAAATACCTTCTTTAACCTTTGCCTCACTTAGTCTTGGAAATTTCTGACGCAGGTATTGAAAAGCTGATCCATCTCTTTCTAATGCCTTGACAAAGTTTTTCATTAGGCCCAACTTGATATGCAGTTGTGGTAATAAATTTTTTTTCGAATCTACTAATGGCATACGCTGTACATTTTTTTGACCTGGCTCTAGGAATTGACGAACAGGCCAGTTTTGTCTGGTGTAATGAAGTGCCTTTGCCCGACTGTCCCATTCACAAAAAACAGCAAAACTTTGTGTAGCCTAGCTGCAGCCCAAGTATAAGTGCAACAACTTTCAAATCGCCACAAATATGCCATTGGTGCTCATCGTATTTTATGCATGTCAATAGGTACTTCATATTGTCATATGATTCTTTCATGTGAACTACATACCCTACAGGAAGAGATGGTAAAATATTTCCAATATGCAATAACACTGCCTTTAAACTCAATGTTGAACTGTCTATAAACAATCTCCATTCTTCTGGGTTATAGTTTATATTTAAAGCCGCCAGTAAGCCGTTAATGTTACTGCAGAAAACCAAGTTATTCTCCATATTGAAAAATGGTTCTGAGTCTTTGTGGCGTTTACGAAAAACACATACCGAAACATCGTCTTCTAACAAGTTCCACTGCTGCAGTCTTGATCCAAGTAACTCTGCCTTACATTTTGGAAGTTCTAAATCTCTTACAAGATCATTTAATTCTGACTGTGTTATTTTGTGCGGTTGGTGGCATGACGTGCTCGGTATAAAATTAGGATCTCTTGACGTTGATGGCATATCTTCTTCCTGACGAATCATTCGATCGCCATGATCTGATTCGTTTTCTGATTCGCAAGTGTAGGATTCTGGGGGTTTTGGAATAGGATTTTCGTCACTGTGAGGCACAGGTCTCATCGCAGATGGTATGTTTGGGTAGTTAATAACCGATTTTTTTTTCTTGGACATACCTGTGGCTTGTCCAACACAAGGCACCATGCAAAAGTAACAATCATTAATATGATTTGTAGGCTCTCTCCAAACCATTGGGACAGCAAAGCGCATAGACCGTTTTTTGCCATTTAACCAGCTCCTCAGACTTGAAGCACATGTATTACAGCAGATGTGGAGTGCCCACTGTTTGTCTTGATCACCTAGTTTACAACCGAAATAAAGCTGATATGCCTTTGTTATTAGTGGAGTAATAGACCGTCTCTGAGACGCAAAAGTCACATCACCACACACGTAACAAAACTGATCTGGATTGTTTACACACTTTCGAGGCATCTTGCATGAACGCTGTCAGCCAACTGAGGAAAAAATGGCTAATATAAAACAATATAATGTACACGTATGTATAACGTAACACAATCATGCCGATTACATCATCTTTCCTTGCCGAATATAAAAATGTAGCACGTGCATTCTTGTGAATTACAGTATATTAACACTGTCACAGCAGGAACACATATAATTACCGTATCTCTAAAACTTGAACTAATATTGAAAAAATAAGTTTCATTCCGGTTTTAGCACATTACAAATAGTAATATTTTGTCGATTTTATTTAGGATATTTTCTTGCTGTTGATCAGTATATATAATCTTTCAAACCGGTCAAAATGAAATCTAATATTTCTTATCAGGTTTGTCGTGAACCTTGCGTACGCTTATGAAACCAAGGACGCCCTCTGCCTAGTGCTGACCATCATGAACGGAGGCGACCTAAAGTTCCACATTTACAACATGGGCGGTGATCCCGGCCTAGATATAACAAGGGCTAGATTTTATGCAGCAGAAGTCGTTTGTGGACTTGAGCATCTTCACCAACAGGTAAAGTAACGGACACGAAACATACGGACTTTGACCACCGCTCAAAGGTGTCCGCAAATATTTAAGGTGTTCCAATAAAAAAAAGGAGTTTTTTGTACCACTAAATTGTGCAACACTCTGTATATTTGCAAGTAATCTGGAGGCACGCCTATAAAATGCTAATCTAAACTGTATCCATCGAAGAAACAAAGTAAAATCAAACATATACACCCGTATTGCACGTGATCAAGCTATTGTGACTGATCTATAAAAAAATGTCGTACAAGATATGTGTTGCTGTAAATTCTATCAAAAGCATAGTAAATTATCAGGAATATACCACGCCTTTCTAATCATATTTCGAAATTAGGAATCAGTGCAAAAAATTCTGTATTCACCATTTCAGCAAAATGTTACTAAAACGCACACGAAAAAAACTTGTGGACCATCTCAATTGAAATTGTTCATATTTTATTATTAACTTACATATATACCCAATAATATTTACAAATCAACCTTCTATTCACAATGCAGAGCAAATTTTTTTGAGCAAATAGAAACTACAGACGTAGTAGTAGTAGTAGTACAAAAGTTTGTTACAGACTCCATAAAGTTTGTTAGTTTGATTGCTATTAAAATTTACATGAGAAATAGGAAGAAGGTCAAAATGGCACTATTATGCTTTGGAACTCCTAAATTAACCCTAATTTTGTGTAATTATAAATTTGGAATTTCCACATTAATAACTAGAAACTTACACTTTGATTGCAGTCTATAATGAACTTACCTGTCTTGCCAAAAAGCCCGTTAAACTGCCAGTCTTAATGGTATCAATCGATTTATATGCTGTATTCCGAGGAGCTTGAATCATCAGAATTGTTGATGTCAATTATAAGGGGTTCAACTTGGGTGTCAATGATATTGTCCATATCCCACATTTTGGTTTCAACCTTCTCTTGGACATGGTCAATACATGTTCTCCATTTTGCTGGCGTAATTCTATCGACAGCAACATCAAACAGTTTTTTAAGGTCAGAAAACTTAAAAGTGCTGTTATTTGACGCCACGTATTGCTTGATGTCGGCCCAAATCAACTCGATAGGATTCAGTTCGCAGTGATAGGGAGGCAGCCTGAGAATCGTTTTATTTTGGTTTTTGGCCATTTCGTCAACAATTTTTAAATCATATTTATACTTATGTCGCTTGACTATATTTATCAGCTCAGCTTTGACCATTGTTTGGTCGAAGTCGATCTTCTTTGAGACAAGCCACTGTTGAATGTCTGCCTTTTTGGTGGCCATTGTTGGAATTTTTTCCAATTTTCTGGAGTGGTACGGGGCATTATCCATCACAATAATTGCGTTATCATCAAGTGTCGGCAAAATTTTTTTGAACCAATTTTCAAATGAGTTACCATCCATTTCTTCGTGATAGTCTCCAGTTTTTTTGGATTCAAATGCCCACAATGCTTCAGGAACAAATCCATCTACGCTACCTATGTGGCAAATGATCAGGCGTTTTCCCTTGCCTGAAAGTAATTAGTTATTTTACTTCTCAGCGAGCGCACTAAATGACGAAATTAAGCAACTTACTCTTTTTAGGTTAGTGTAGGATAGGGTCTTAGATTAGTTTTTGGGTGAAGGAAATACTCAGAAACTTGGATGAGATAGCAAAACTGAGTTCGGAGCTTCCAAATCATTGATTAGATCAGAAAATGAATTATCTGCATCCAAAAAAGTTCATATACTTCGAAACTTACCTGCAGGATTTTTCAATCCCGTCGAAAGGCCATCTAAAAAAGCCTGCCTTGAGGACCTTACAGATCTGTCTACCCAAACCTTTCCCTGCGTATGCCCCGCGTTCACCCATGTTTCGTCTAAATAATAAATTTTTCTTCCTTCAGCGCGGAATTGCCTAATTTTTCTAAGGTATTCTCTCCTCCAGATAACAATTTCCTCCTTTTCTATCAATAAACTATTCCTTCCTCTTTTCAAAAATCGAAAGTCTAGTTCTTTCAACAGCTTATGGAACGTAGATGTTTTAAAATTTGGCAGGTCCTCATCATCATTCACTTGCTTCAATATTTTATCTATTGTAGGTATTTCATTCCTGAAGAAAAAGTGATGTACTTTTCTTCTAATGGCACTTTTGTCAAAGTCATCTATTTTTTCGATTATTTTTTTTCTCGCTGGATATGTTTTTGGCTCAGATAGTGAGTGATTTTGTCTATATTCCTTCAAGATTTTGTAAACACTTGATCGACCTACTCCAGAAATTTCAGCAACCTTACATACGATATTTTCTATAGCCAATCAACTATTCTCTTGCATCTGGTTCTTGTAGATATTTAGAATAATTTGTTTTTCACCTGCGCTAAGATGAAGCTTTTTAGCCCTTTTGCTGGGTGACGTTAAGCTGATTTCAACCACTTCATCAGCTGTATCTGTGTCAGACATTTTAGACTAATATTAAATTTCCGCAAGAAAAATCAAGTCAAGACGTGCATAAGACGTTCGCGCTCATAAACGGGTATCCGTAACTGATTACAATCCTGTGCGTGGTGACGAACCATCAACGTGACGCTGAGAGTTCCCTCTACTATGCAGCGTTGCCAGACTTAATGTCACAATGATCATGTTTTATTGGGAAAATTGTCAGAAATCGCCGAATGTTGAACAGAAACATTACAAGAAGTCTAACCTTCAAATGTGAGGCTACAAATCGATATTCTTATAGGGGGGAAGGGTAGGGAGCTGTTATGGTTCCTATTAACCTTGGTGAAAGTTGGAAACGGTAATATCATATATGGCATACATTCGGTTGAAGGTGTGTGCACGGAAAATAGATTGCGGATAGGATTTTAATAGATAAATCTGCACAAAAAAACACAAAAGGAGATTTTTGTAGTTCCCTGAAGAATATCTCAAGGTTATTTCAGTTGTACTCATCGAAACTTTATGGAAGGATTATCGAAACCTTATTTTCAATTGCGATAGGACCACATACCTCGACATCGCATTAATGTGAAAAATAAGACAATAGAAAAAAATTCCCTCACTGATGCTATCTCTTAGGAAAAATTTAACTATAAAGATTGCACAAAAATTTTCTTCACCTTTTTGAGCTTGTTTTCGCATCTCCGTATATGCCGTTCATAATTTGCTGCAGATCAAATTGGAATATACCTTTGTGATGCCATTTATTGTTATATAATGTCGTTTACAACAGTTATTGCACGTATTGCACCAACAGATTGATTTGTGATCCATGCGAATGTGATCAGCCACTCTGGCGAAAACTCGCCGAGCGTGGCAACCGTGCGACTCTGTCTGGAGGCTCGTCGCTACAAGCAAATCAGGAAGAGGCCGACAGAGCGCCATGGCTACCGATCACGCGTTGATCACGAATCAACCACTGTTTACGATTACTTTGTAGCTTCGTTAGATACACTTTAGCTGCACAAATCATTTTCGAATATAGTTTTTCTATCTTCAATTTCAGTTGGAACACCCTTTTTTATTATATCTTAAAGTTCCCTATGTACCTTAAAGACGAATTAGTTTCCATAGAATCGTGTAGGCAAGCGTATCCACAGAGGCTATGTTACCAAACTTTAACACCCTGTATCTCAAATGGAAAACATGTCTGGGCTTTGCGCACATTGGAACAATATTGATCAGCACAATATGAGCTATCACTATACGAATTTTCTTTAAATTTGATACGTTTTATGCGTGGAACTTTTTCATATAAATAGGAAGGACCAAACAAACCAGTTCTCTTCTAGGCCAGTTTTTGACAAATATAAAGGGTGTTCGAAAAATTGACGATGTTTTAGAGGGTGATTCCTTGTTAAAAAATATGAAAAAAGTTTCTATAAACATGGGTCCGAAAATCCAGAGTTTTCAAGATACAGGGTGATGAATTTATCCTTTTTTTATTATCTTAAAAACTATTTACACGATTCTGTTGAAATTTGGCAATATTATTTTTTACGTTGAGAGGCTAATTCAGCGATTAATTTATTAATTATTGGTGATTTTTTTAACAAAAATTAATAAAACAGTTTTTTCCATTGACATGCAATGAAACGGATTCTATTTTTTTTCTCGAAAACGGAATGAAGTACGAAAAAATACAAGAGGCAAAGAAGTTGTATTTTTAGATGTTTAATCAAACAACAGATATTAAAGTTACAAAAAAGACAGTGGTGTACATTTTTTGCCAATAATATTCGCTAAGATGCCCCCCGGGACGCCACTGGACCTAACAATTTTAATCTATTTAGAGCTAAATTAGACTCTTAATACAACAAATAATATTGCCAAATTTCAACAGAACCGACTAAATAGTTTTTAAGATATTAATTAAAAAAAGATATATTTTTTTTAAATTCATCACCGTGTATCTTGGAAACTCTGCATTTTCGGACCCATGTTTATAGAAACTTTTTTCACATTTTTTAACAAGGAATCACCCTCTAAAATATCTCTATCGTCTATTTTTCGAACACCCTCTATAATCAGCATTACAAAATGAGTTTGCATTGATCCTAGACGATTCAGCGGTTACTTGTTGGTGGTTCTTCACTTCATCATACAGAGTGTCTCAGAATAAGATGGCAATCTCTGAGAGGCATATAAAACATAAAAGAAAGCACCACAAGTTCTTTTTAAAAATATCTTTCATAGCTCTCCTACAGACCCTTGACGGTAGCTACTGGAAATATTTTTTTTTTCAAATTAACTTTTGAATCACACTGTATAATTCAACGAAATTTTGGAAGCATATTATCCGTTTGGAATGTCATGTTATTGTATCCTTTATCTCATAATTGTGTCCATATCCATAGAAAACAAGTAAGTTATTTATACCGTTAAGCCAACTCAGTGTAGCTACGAGGGTTGTCCCAAAAGTAAGGTTGCCAAATGTTTTTCAGGCACAAGGAATTTGGAAATTGCAATTGGAAACACTGTTTTTCTAAATAGTCGCAATTTTTCTACGCATTTTTTTTTATACGTTTCCCATATACTTCACTCAGCTGGCGATGAATTTCTATGGGCGGTAACGTTTTTGCGTGCAAAAATCGGATGACCGCACGAATTTCGCACCTGGCGATGAAGAGCTCCATTGCGCATGATTGCCAGTCCGAACTGAGCGTCGCCAATAGGCGCTTCTCGTTGGGATCGGTGGTGGGGGAGCCGACAAACGCGACGGTGTTGCCAGATTTCGCCTAGCATCACGCGCGGCAAAGTTGCAGCGTTGGGAACATTATTTTTGAAATAACCCTCATGTATCAATCAGAGGTGTTTTTTTTGTGACAAATCTGATCTTTATTCTAAAAAAATTGTGTCAATTATATTTCCCAAACCTTCGAAACCACTGGTATATTACAACTGAGTCATATAATTCGACAAATAACCAGTTAAAATTCAACAAGTTAATAATTATATATACTAAGTGACATATAAATCCGAACACCCAGTTTAAATGGTTTTATTTTAATAAAATTTTGTATAAGTACTTAATGAAGCATAATAAGTTAATTTCAAAATGATTGCACTGCTTTAAAGCCCTTTGACCTTTAATAATGTGTGGATGCACCCTGATGTGCTACGCATTCTCCAACGCGCCTAGGCATGCTTCTGATCAGGTGGTCAATGTCCTCCTGTGGTATCTCATTCCAGGCAACCACCAACTCCTCTCGAAGTGCTTCTAGAGTCTGAGGAGGACGTTGCAAATTGAGCAATCTCCTACCCATCATATCCCACACGTGCTTAATTGGGGATAAGTCGGAAGATCTTGGTGCCCATGGTATCAATGTGACATCATTATGTTGAAAGAAGTCTATTGTGACTCTTGCAACATGTGGTCGGGCATTATCTTGTTGGAAAGCTGGATCTGCCAGGGTGTCAAGATAGGGTAAAAGATGGCGTTCTAGAACTTCGTGGATATAACGTTGCGCGTTCATGTTACCTCTGATGAAGATTAAAGGTGACCTGGAACCATAAGCTATAGCACCCCAAACCATAACTCCAATAGTGTGATGAACATGTCTTTCAACAAAAAACTATGGCTTCCTCCTTTCACCACGTCGCCTTCTAACAATGGCACGACCATCGTGCATGCCTAAACAAAATCGAGACTCGTCGCTAAAGACAATACTGTTCCATTCCTGATCCCAGAGTGACCGTTGTCTGCACCACTCAAGGCGATTACGTCGGTGTTCTCGAGTTAAAGGGAGGAACCAGTGTGGCCGGTATGAAAACAAGCCAAAACTTCTCATTCGTCGGTAAACACTTCGCATGCCAATAGGTCTTCCGTGTTCTGCAAACCATTCATTTGCAATGGACCTGGTAGTGGAGAAACGGTCCCTTAAGGCCAATAGTCTTAGGCGGCGATCTTCACGGTCTGTTGTTCTACGGCGGCGTCCAGTGCCCCTTGCTCTTTGCGTACGGCCTTCTCGAAGCCATGCCTGACAACACCTAACCGCAGTGTCTACACTTCTTTGCACTCTAACTGCAATTGCCCGAAAAGAAAGTCCAGCTTCCCGAAGTCCCACTATACGGCCCCTATCAAACTCACTAAGTTGACGAAATCGTGCAGGTCTCCGTACTCTAGGCATCGTAACCGATCGTAAAGGATGTCAAGAATCAAAATCCGCCAACGTTGATTCTTTACTGCGGCTGAAATATTCATTTTTAGAGCGTTAGTGAATTAAAAAAAAGCAGTATAAAAACCGGAATGTCCAACTGATAAGGCTGAAAATTTTTTCACTTGTTATTTACAGTAAGATAAATACATTCACCAACTTTTATTAAAATAAAACCATTTAAACTGGGTGTTCGGATTTATATGTCACTTAGTATATTTCATTTAAAAAAGAAGAAAGAATTATTAAAAAATTTATTTCAACTTGCACTTGAGTAGATAAAGATGGTATCAATAGTTATTCATTAATTGATATTATTGAATTTTTATTGAATTGTATTACATTATTTAACAAATGAAGGGTACAGGCAAATACCAGGGAATGTCCTAATGAACTGATTTTGAGAAAACTGCAATTGGAAGTTTGAAAGTGTTTCATTTTTCTGAGATCAAAGTATGCAGTAACTATTACTTAAAACTATTTAAATGTTTTATATCTAATATAATTTTGTTGTTGACATTGGACCTTCTAATTTTATTAAACATACTTAAATTGAACAAAAACCAAATGAAACATTTTGAAACAAGTAAAAAAATAAGAACAATTCAGTTTTCAGAATCTTTATTTTTGAATCATATTTTAGTTTCCTACTGTCTTTTAAACTGTAATGACTCGATCTTCTTTTAAATGAGTTGATATGATTAAAACCTCTGATGCAATTTTTTTACTATTTTCATGCTCTTCTGTTTGATCTACTGTACCTGTTACTTTTATGCTTTTGTAGATATTCAATCTTTTATTGTTGATATCTTCATTTTTACCCTCATTTTGTGGTGTATGCAGGTGTATGAAAATTAGCCTTATCTTCAAACTTCTGCTTGTTCTTCGTAAACATTTATAAACCCTGACAAACATAAGTTCTACTCACTGACACTACAAAATGAATTGAAATATTTAATATTTTTTTTATATATTTTCATTTATATTTTCAAAACTTTTAAACCATTACACGGTGCAACTGTTTCATTACATCTTCGGTTCTACCAGTTTTCTTTTTTTTTGCTTTGGTAATTTGTTAAGCTCAGATTACTTTTATCATTATCTGAATCAAAAACCTATTCAACTTCAAATTATTATACCGCAAACTTTATATAAATTCTAATCTCAAAATTACAACTGACAATCCTTCTTAGACGTTCCCAGCTTTTCTCGTTTCGGCCTTAAACATAAACATTTTAAAGGCTAACGATTGAAATTTTTGAGAAAAAGTACAGTTCTCGTTTTTGACCACCCTGTATGAGCAAAAATGAAAATTCGAAAAAGTAACAAATAAGATCAAAGCAAGAGCTGGGTAAGTTTTTTTTTTATACAAAATTCTGCACTCCAAATTTCAAAATGGCGGATTGAGGGGTTGCCTACGTGGACGGTTTTTCTGGACAAAACACCTTACATCTCAGTAGCTATTTACCAAAACCCCATAGTATGCCATATCAATCTTCTTCTTTTGAATCGGTGTATCCAACAATGCAATAAAATTTGAGGCATTCCATTTAAAAAATCACAACTTTGATATGTAGGTCGAAATTGGGACACCCTATATTTAGCCAATATTTTAGAAATGTGCTCTCAAATGTCATGTATAACATCCCATAAAAAGATTTTCCCAAAATGTATTTGTTTATGAGTAATATTCCGTCCATACGTGGATGGGCCACCCTGTATACAAGGATTAGCTGACAATGGGAAACTAAAAAAATAAAAATGGTGACATTCCCTATCATTTGCCTTCAAATATACAAATTTGTATCAAGTGACTCAAGAGAATAAAGAGGTATATTTGGTCGTAGAAAAATCGTAGTGCTAGTGCTTTTAGTTTTGGAGCTAGTATTGGTTTCTATTCCAGGGCATTGTATATAGAGACTGTAAACCTGAAAATATTCTTCTAGACGACACAGGTCACGTGAGGATATCCGATTTAGGATTGGCTGTCGAGATTCCGGAAGGAGAGTCTGTAAGGGGTAGGGTTGGCACTGTAGGATATATGGGTAAGATTTAAATCAGCCTGTCGTATAAGGAATATATATGTATCATCCTTAGATTTAAGATTTAGATTTCGAATCGCATCATTCAGACCCTTTTCAAAATGACGCCTTATAGGACTCGCTTGGGAAAGGTCTCTTTTTGCACATAATTCAAATTCATGAAAAAGTCGTTTTAAAACGTTCGTGGACTAGAAAAATAACAATATGTAGATATTTCAAAATTAGTTCACAGATTTTCATAGATTCTACATGTACAGGATGTCCGCAAAGTTGGGGTTTTCCTTTTCGGACACAACTGCGCTTGATATAACAAAACCAATGCGTGGTGAAACGTGAGCGAACAAGTAAAAAAAATTAAATGAAATTGTACTCACTGTTCAGTTGAATTGAAATTCCAAGTACGGCTCTGTCTTAAGATCCGTATTTACATCGTAGTCGTAAGTCGTATAACTGTACGCTGGCGCTGGAGCTGTGGACGTGATCGAGGGATAGGACAGGACCGGCTTCGGTTTGGTTCAGGTTTGATTGAGTTTGTGGAGCACAATAAACATTTTCTCAATATCTACACGTCGTGTAAAGGAACACTCCAATTTTGCGTATATTCTATTCACAATTATTATAAACATTTTTTCTATCTAATAACTGCTTGATGTTTGATCTGGGAGTATTGAGTAGCCACTCTTTAAGCTTATTTTTAAAGGAATTGATCCCGTTTCTTTCATTTAATTCGGGGTTTCTCTATAAAATACAGGACCGAGATACAGGGTGGCCCAACGAGAACATCGCCCCCCATTTGTGACTCCTGTTATATTTGGAAAAAACGCTCGGACACGTCATTTTTTATCTCTGGGGGGCGTCTTTTCATCTATAGCCGTAAAATACAGGGTGATCCAAGAATAAGATATTGATATCTTTAGATTTTCAAACGGAAACCCCCATTTTTTTTTAATTTTTAGGTTCTCCATGAAGTTTTTAGTAACTTTCATCACATTGACGAACCTCTTTATAGCAAATTATTGTTTACTTGCGTGTAAACTGTGAGATGTTTTTTGTTTTTTCAATACTCGGAGACATGTTTTTAATTTTAAATAAAGTCTTGTTGCTATGGGAACTACACTGCTATGCAAAATTAACCGGACAAACAAAATTTTCTACAAATTAACTTTTAAGTAACTTTTTAACCTTGGCATCAATTTCGTTAGTTTTTTCGCCAAAATGTAGGTAATTTCATTTTCATCATTATAGACTGTAAATCTTGCAAAAAAATTGAAAGTGTTTCTTGTTATACAGGGTGTAACTAAAAGGTGCATTTTGCCCTAAATTTCTGAACACCCTGTGGAAACATTGGATTACTGAATAATGTGTCTTCATATGAGAATTTTAAGCCTTAACGTTTCTCAACAGTTCTTATTTTGATTCATGACAATATCTCAATTATTGAAGAATATTTGCGGTTTTGAAGAAAATCATGCGAATCCTAGCCATAAACAAAACAGCATATATTCTTCAATAATTGAGATATTAACATGAATCAAATAAAGAAGTGTTGAGAAAAGTTGAGGCATAAAATTCTCACACGAAGACACATTATTGAGTACACCAACGTTTCCACAGGGTGTTCAGAAATTTGGGGCAAAATGCATCTTTTAGTTACACCCTGTATAACAACAGACATTTTAATTTTTTTGCAATATCGGCAGTTGATAATGATAACAATGAAATTACCTACAACTTGCCGAGGAAATTAACAAAATTGATTCAAATGCTAAAAAGTAATTTAATTTTATTATTATAAACTCAAATAGCTCCACAACGATTGAAGATAGGTATAAACTTTATTATACAAATGTTACTAAAAAACTCGGGGTTTCCATTCAAAAACCTAAATTGTAACGCAATATCTTATTTTTGGATCACCCTGTATTGTACGGCTATAGATGAAAGTACCTTTTCGTTGGGCCACCCTGTAAATGAGCAAGTTTCCGCGAAATTTTTTTAGGTCAATTTGTTTATTGTACGCCATTTACTTTTATCTTGCTATACTTTTTTTCTTTTAATAATAAACATTATTAACTTTTTTTTTGTTATTATGAGACGACATCTTCAATTCAATTCCACTAAATTGATTATTCAAAGTAAAAATTCAATATATCTATGATCGTGTTATAATTTAAAACAGCTATTTCATAATTTTGTTTTGACTCGGGGAATTGGAAAAAAGTCGCAGATTCTGTTTAAAGCAACAAAATGTGAAACGTAGTTACTTGAATATCCAATGCATGGAGATCACAACCTTAAAAGGCAATCGATTTACTTGATAACAAAGTTTGTGCGGTTATTTATAAGATTCGTCAAAGGGCTTCCTTCTACCTTCCCGCCTTTCCGCAATCTCCCTAGAGTGGCGAACACTATATTACCACAATGAATAATTTATCAACTGTAAACCAATTTTCAGCAGCAATATGTGCCAGACATCGCTCAGTTCGCCGTTGTATAGTCAAGTACCAGAAATGCGTGGCTACCCAGTTTTCGGGGTGTTCTTGTACTGTTGAGACGTTATTCCAGGTCATCCTGATGGGTCTTGACCGATTGACCTCATGTATGAAAATGCAACCTGGTGCATGATCTCGAGCGCAACACGAATCTATTGTCAAAAATGGTCGTTGCTATTTGAATTCACGAACTTGACCTCCAAATGACCTCTGAGGTCATGGTCTAGGTCATAGTTGATGTCATCGACAATTTGCTATTATATCCTGCAATTTTTTTCCAAAAAATGCATTGTTGCCGAGTTTTTGGGGTCTTCGGATATTTAATAAACATGAAATAGAATCAGGAAAGCCAGAAATTCAGTATTTTGCTTTCAAATTAAATTTTATCGGTAAAACGGAGATTTTAGACCATAAAAATACCATCAATTTTTAAGAATTAAAATCGATAAACAATTAAGTTGAATATATGTTTTTTAGCAATATTGAATAAATGTTTATACCTATTACAATAACGATTGTAAATGGCTAAAAATTTGTGAAAATGAGGGTATCATTGGTGTTGATAAGTGTGCTAAATTTCAGGCGGATCGGTATAATAGTATATGTAAAAAGCTAATTGTTTATCCCAGAGACGAATTATTTAAACAACTGTTCTTGCCTTAAATATGGTTGTAGAACATTTTACAAAAGAGAAATGGATTCTTGAAGGTTTCAACTTCAAGATGTTATGCAAAAAATTAATTGTTTACCACAAAATTGTTGTTAAAAATGATGTTGAAAATAGCCATTTTTATAGTTATAAACATTTACAATAACCTCGTTATTTTCGATATAATTTATTTTAACAAGTTGATCTGGATAGGTTAAAAAGCGCATATTTAAAAGAAGAACTTTCTACGACCAATAGCAGTCGAGATATTTTTTTTCTAATTCATATATCGTTTGTTTATAAACATTGAGACTCGAATTTTCACAGATTTTAATCAAAGGATCTTTATTTTATGATCGAAATATTTGAAGAAATGAGTTATAAAAATATTGAAGAAGAAGTAAAGCGTTCAAATAAAAGATTTAGACGGAGGATCAAGATTAATTAAATAATAAAATATAATAAAATATATTAATATATTAAAACACAAACGTGAATAATTTTTTTTTTAGTGTACTTTGTTAAGAGTATACCAATTAACTGAATTATGAATTGTTTAAACAATTCTATTGTAAAATATAAATTATTTTATTAGAGTAGAGTAAACATAAATAATTTACGACGTTAAGTTTTCTGGGATTTCCAGGTTTTCCAGAAAAATGACAATGTGCCAGATGTCATTATTTTGACGAGTTACCCCAAATTGAAAAAAGGCCCTACGATTTGAAGACTCAATTTACAAAAAATTAATCGAGCTAGAGCTGATTCCTCCACTACCTCACTCGGAAATACTTACGCGAGTACCTTCACTTTAGGTGGCTAATTCTTAAACACCTTTGAAGTAATAGGAAAATTATAAATTGGATCATAAAATTAAGATACTTGATTAAAATCTGGGGAAATTTCGAGTCCTAATGTTTATTAACAAAGAAGATTTTTTGAATATGCGTTTTTTAACCAGATCAACTTGTTAAAATAATGTATGTTGAAAAATAACGGTAAATGTTTATAATAATAAAAATGGCTATTTTTTAACAACAATTTTGAAATAAATAATTGTTTTTTGCATGACTTCTCGAAGTTGAAACCTTCAAGAATCCATTCCACTTTGGAAAAATGTTGTAGGACCATATCTTGTGCAAGAACAATTGTTTTAATAATTCGTCTCTGGGATAAACAATTAGCTTTTTACATAAACAATTAAACCCATCCGGCTGGAATTTAGCACGCATATTAACAGCGATTATTTCCCCATTCTAACAAATTTTTAGCCATCTACAATTGTTATTGCAATAGTTATGAACATTTATTCAATATTGCTAAAAAGCTTAATTGTTTATACGTTTTAATTTTTTTAAAATTAAGGTGTTTTATGTCCTAAAATCTCCAGTTTACCCATTATTTATGAAATTTAATTTGAAAATTATACAAGCAAGATACTGAATTTTGAGCTTTTCCCATTGTTTATAAAAAACAACTCATATCTGGTTGCATCTTTTTATGTATTTGTCATTAGAAAGACCCCTTTCATATAAAACTTGCAGAAATCTGCTAAGCTTATTCACACGAAATACCGATTATTTTTTTCTCTATAGCCTGGGCTATATTGCACTACTCTCTGATCATATTTACGTTAATAATATGATGAATTTGGTTTCTATCCCGATTCTGATACTTGACTAAGCATATGTATGACCCTTGTACATCATCTCTATATTTTCAGCACCGGAAGTAATCGACAACGAACGTTACACATTTTCTCCTGATTGGTTCAGTTTTGGCGTGCTGTTATACGAAATGATAGAAGGCCAAGCTCCGTTCAGGGCGCGTAAAGAAAAGGTAGGCTACTTCACGTGTTAAGCACGTGATTCCTCGACTTCAAATGAAGCAGTGACTACAAGAAGCGTTTCTAAATATAATCAAACACAGGCTAGAAAGTGTGGAATTATAATTTTCTATATTAGTACAAGTAGTTTAAAATTTAGTTATGTTTGCTTATAGACATCATTTTCATCTCAAAAAAAATATATTATAATATCAATTTGCACAAAAGCATTGAATTGATTGGTTTAAATAAACGATTTATTTTATAGGTAGATTGTCAATAATCCTCTTATATTAAAAAAGCTGAATTCCTACAACAAAGTATTTCTAAATTTTCAGTACAAGGTTACAGATTTTTTTTGTATCCATCTACAAATAGGTAAAACGGGAAGAAGTAGATAGACGCGTGAAATTCGATCAGGAAAAGTACTCGAACCGTTTCAGCGAAGATGCAAAGTTGCTGTGCCAACAGCTGCTGGTGAAGTCGCCTAGGGAACGACTTGGAGGAGGCATGGGACGAGCGGGAGCGGTGATGGTGAAACAGCACGCTTTTTTTCAGTCAATCAACTGGAAAAGACTCGAAGCGGGTATGGTGGAACCTCCGTTTGTACCGGACGTGAGTATTTCTATAGCTCGTGTTTGAAATTCCGGGTCCAGAAATCTAATTTCACCAGACCATTATCCTTTTAATTTTAGTATTAAACGTGCATATCAGTAAATGGGATAGAAACATTTTTTTTGTTCATACTATTACCTTTTAATACACCTGCGAATATAATTTCACCGGACTATATCATCTAATCCATTCGATGAACCAATAGGAGTACTCGATATCATCGGGTAGATTAAATTCTATAGTCTGGTGAAATTAACCAAGCAAGTTTATTTGGCAGTAGTCGATGTCGTCGAGTGGATTAAAGGTTATAGCGTTGTAAAATTATTTTCCCAAGTTTTTGGCAAGTACCTCTACTGAAGAAAGTCGGGGGATTAGAGGTTATAGTTCTAGTGAAATTGTCGGAAATCTAGTAGATAAACACCCGAACGGGCGTAGACGTCGTCAGGTGGATTAAAGCTTATAGTCTGGTGAAATTAACCAAGCAAGTTTATTTGGCAGTTGTCGATGTCGTCGAGTGGATTAAAGGATATAACATTGTAAAATTATTTTCCCAATTTTTTTGGCAAGTATCTCTACTGAAGAAAGTCGGGAGATTAGAGGTTATAGTTCTAGTGAAATTGTCGGAAATTTAGTAGACAAACACCCGAACGGGCGTAGACGTCGTCAGGTGGATTAAAGCTTATAGTCTGGTGAAATTAACCAAGCAAGTTTATTTGGCAGTTGTCGATGTCGTCGAGTGGATTAAAGGATATAACATTGTAAAATTATTTTCCAAATTTTTTTGGCAAGTATCTCTACTGAAGAAAGTCGGGAGATTAGAGGTTATAGTTCTAGTGAAATTGTCGGAAATTTAGTAGACAAACACCCGAACGGGCGTAGACGTCGTCAGGTGGATTAAAGCTTATAGTCTGGTGAAATTAACCAAGCAAGTTTATTTGGCAGTTGTCGATGTCGTCGAGTGGATTAAAGGATATAGCATTGTAAAATTATTTTCCCAATTTTTTTGGCAAGTATCTCTACTGAAGAAAGTCGGGAGATTAGAGGTTATAGTTCTAGTGAAATTGTCCTAAATTTAGTAGACAAACACCCGAACGGGCGTAGACGTCGTCAGGTGGATTAAAGCTTATAGTCTGGTGAAATTAACCAAGCAAGTTTATTTGGCAGTTGTCGATGTCGTCGAGTGGATTAAAGGATATAACATTGTAAAATTATTTTCCCAATTTTTTTGGCAAGTATCTCTACTGAAGAAAGTCGGGAGATTAGAGGTTATAGTTCTAGTGAAATTGTCGGAAATTTAGTAGACAAACACCCGAACGGGCGTAGACGTCGTCAGGTGGATTAAAGCTTGTAGTCTGGTGAAATTAACCAAGCAAGTTTGTTTGGCAGTAGTCGATGTCGTCGAGTGGATTAAAGGATATAACATTGTAAAATTATTTTCCCATGTTTTTTGGCCAGTACCTCTACTGAAGAAGGTCGGGGGATTAGAGGTTATAGTTCTAGTGAAATTGTCGGAAATTTAGTAGACAAACACCCGAACGGGCGTAGACGTCGTCAGGTGGATTAAAGCTTATAGTCTGGTGAAATTAACCAAGCAAGTTTGTTTGGCAAATACCTCGGACGAACCTAGTCGAAGTCGTCGGGAGGATTAAAGGATATAGTCTGGTGAAATTAACTTCATAAGATCGTATGGTGAATAACTTGAACGCAAGTAATTCATGCCGACGAGTAGATTAAAGATAGAGACTAGTAGTCGGGGCAATACCGTCGCATATGGTGGTAAAAATATTCTGATTCGAATTTTTTCCATAACTTTATTCAAAAAGGGCCTTTTAACGAATCTGCATATTGCCAAGATCAAAAATTTTTTGAGCAATCTTTTTAAACGAATTACAAATACACTGAGCGCGTGGCCAATTAACAATTGAAAATTAAAGGACGCTTTTATGGCCTCCTTGATTTCCATAGTCTTTTCTCTCCTTCAGAAACACAGATTTCTACTGTTCCCTCTCAGCGTTAGGGCTCTCCTATTGTGAGGCTATGTTTTCTTTTTGAAATGTAGGAAATTTTAAGCTGATATAAGAAATGTTACAAGTCAAAACCATGAACAATTTGATGCAAATAGATATTTGTAACATAACCTCAAAATAGAGAACTATGAAAATCAAGGCCATAAAGGAGTCCTACAACTGTAGGAACGAATGACGATACGGCCTTGATACAGTGCATTTCCTACCGGCAAGCGCACGAAATTCGATCATGAAGTAAGGTTATCTTCTCGAGTTATAGTATCCCGCGATTAATCAATTTAGTCTGGTGAAATTACTTCCTTATTTCAATGGATAAGTTCCGTGATGTTCAGAATCGTATAAGTAATGACATATCAACAAAATATAGATGAAATATAATCAACCAGTGAAAAAATTATTGAAATCGGTCAATAAATGACAGAGAAATTAATATTAAATTTTGCGCATTATAGCGCGTACCGACAGCGTCTGTGCGTTTAGTAATTAGTCTATCGACAATTCATAAGACACACCTGTGCGTTAACTTTTTTATGTTTAGAGATAAATTAATAATCGTTTCATCATCTTGTTTCATTTTCCTAAAATTTCATTTGAGCTAATAACATTGGCGAAATATCGAACAGGAATAGCCGATGCATCAGATGGATACTACTACGTCGTATCTTTTCGTCTAAACATGCGCTTCAAGACCACCGATGTTGTTACCAAATGATAAATTAAAATATTCGTTTCAGCCGCATGCAGTATATGCCAAAGACGTCCTGGACATCGAGCAGTTCTCAACTGTGAAAGGTGTGAACATTGATGACAGTGACTCAACGTTTTATAGTAAATTTAACACGGGTTGTGTTTCGATACCTTGGCAGGCGGAAATGATCGAGACCGATTGCTTCCGCCAGTTGAATGTGTTCGGGCCGAACTATAGCAGGACTCCGGATTTAGTTCTAGAACCAATAGTGATTTCTGAAAATGAAGGCTGTTTCCCGTTCAGGCGGAAGGTAGGCACATTATTTTTTTGGCACTATTTTGGAGTATACCAGGAAGATGTTGACAGGTGTTTCGAATTCCACTCTCACCATTGAGACCTCGGAAACGGTAAGAGATAAAATGAAACAAGTGACTATCTGATAATTTCAAAGCCTACTTAGGAATTTTTCTTTTTTGCAATAACTGAGGTTTGACAAAGTCAATATATGATATACAGTAGCTGAAAAATGTTTGGAAACATTCTTAGTAATTTTTGAAAAGTACGCTATTTTTTCTTATTAAGGACTATTTTTTTCTCATATAGTTTGCTTACAGTCTTGAGGATACAAATGGCAATTTGTGTTTGCTGTGGTACCACAGACCAGCATTAAAATACCTTCATAAAGAGACGACAAAAGTATGGAAACATTTTTTATTACAAAATTTAATACAATGCGTGACATCTGCTGCTCATAGAAGACATCAATTTTTTACAAACGTCTGTTGGGATATTTTGCCAAATATTTTTTACATAATCAAATAAATCGTTCCTATTTTGTAAAAAATATAACAAATGAGTACTTATCAGCAAAGGCATTTTATTCGCTTGGTGAATTTTTTACTGATAATAGAAACAGCCTGAGTGTTTAGGAATAACGAAAAGTAGTAATGCACTGTATTGTTTTTTTTTTGTCTTAGCTGGATATCTGCTTTGACTTGTACAGATTTAAAAACGATGTCATTGAAAAGAATTTGTGAATGGTGTTATCACCTTCATTTTTAATAATGTTCTATAACTCTAGCTTATTTTACTGTAACTTGTCTGTTACTTTTGGAACAAATAAAAACGATCTAAAAAATATCTCTATATATATATATAGGTGAAAAATTAAAGCTTCCGCCTTTTGTTGGGTACTTCGACAAAATTTAAGCAAAGAGGACTCTTTATACTTTTTTTAATTCTCTCTAGCTTTCAATGGACTTTGCCATCATCATCAGGAGCTGCAATTACAATGATAACAGTAGCAACAAAAGTGTAAAATGAATTTAAATTGACTCAACTTACAGTAGTATGTGAGGATGTTGCTAATTGTTGTTTTCGTATAGGATGAGGGAAACGTCCAGTAACATGGTGAGAGCTGGATACATGGTACAATGGTTAAAATTATATAAAATATGACAAGACAAGTTAAAGACAGATTAAAAATTATTTAGAAAACATTAGAGCATTACGTCGTGAAGCCACTTGATGATTGCACAAAATGGTGGTCATGGAATAATGAGTGAGATGAACCTTTGACAGAAGGCCGAAGGTTGTCAATGTCTGTGTTGAAAGATGGAACGAATTGTGGGCGTGTGCCAAAACGTTGTCAAATCACTTCAGATGATGTGATTTTCAGAATGTTATGTAAGAAATTGTTAAACCGACCAGAGGCAGTTGAATAAACTATATTTTAATTAATGGGAATTTTAAATTAACAATTATTAATAAATCGTGAGAAGAGAATTATTAGATTTTGAGTGGAAAGAAATTTGTTGGTGGAATCGGCCAAAACACAGATTATATATATGGTTGTGAAAAGTCGAAATTTGGGGAGATATGTAAGTTCTCCAATTTTTCGCAGTTTAGCAAATATGAGTAAATGACACTCAGTTGTTTAATATCTGTCTTTTTTCTGCCTCTGGTCGGTTTAACAATTTCTTACAGAACATTCTGAAAATCACATCATCTGAAGTGATTTGGCAACGTTTGGCACACACCCACAATTCGTTCCATCTTTCAACACAGGCATTGACAACCTTCGGCCTTCTGTCAAAGGTTCATCTCACTCATTATTCCATGACCACCATTTTGTGCAATCATCAAGTGGCTTCACGATGTAATGCTCTAATGTTTTTAAATAATTTTTAATCTGTTTTTAACTTGTTCTTGTCATATTTTATATAATTTTGACCATTGTACCATCTATCCAGCTCTCACCATGTTACTGGACGTTTCCCTCATCCTATACGTAAACAACAATTAGCAACATCCTCACGTACTACTGTAAGTTGAGTCAATTTAAATTCATTTTACACTTTTGTTGCTACTGTTATCATTGTAATTGCAGCTCCTGATGATGATGGCAAAGTCCATTGAAAGCTAGAGAGAATTAAAAAAAGTATAAAGAGTCCTCTTTGCTTAAATTTTGTCGTAGTACCCAACAAAAGGCGGAAGCTTTAATTTTTCACCTATATATACAGTGAAAGCTCTCCTTGCGGACAGCTCCTATAAGCGGACATCTCTTTTAACCGGACAAAGTTCCTGGAACCGAATTTCAGCCATCAATTTTCAATGTTAAATGCATTCCGATAAACGGACGCGGACACTAGATTTTCCTGTATGTGATCAAAAAATCTCCCATAAGCGGACGCGAAACTCTAATACCCGGACGATTTTTTAGTTCCGCTTATTGCAATGCACATATCTACATACATAAAATTCGGTAATTCCCCGACTTATATTAGGTGATTCCCCATTTACGCATTTCGTTGGGTAGCCTGTATGTAATCTTGTGGCTTGTCTTCAGTTCAGGCAAATTCGTAGTTGATTGAGTTACGTATTTTATTATTGTAACTGTAAAATGGCACCAAAAAAAAGGATGCTCTCGTTAAAGGAAAAGATGGAAGTTGTTAACGTATTAGACAGAGAAAGTGTTTCAGTTCGTCATCTGGCAAAGAGGTTTAATATTGGGAAAACGCAAGCAGCTGAAATTGCCAAAAATAAGGAAGATATCAGGAGTAAATGGCAATCAGGAACTAATATAAATCAAAAGAAGGATTTTTTAAAAAAGGAAGGTTTTGCTATAGACAAAACATGTTTTGAGTGGTTTGTGAAAGCTAGAAGTCAGAACATTCCAATCTCAGGGCCGTTAGTGAAAATGAAAGCTAAAGAAATCGCCACTACTTTGGGCTATAATAATTTCAGTGCGTCCGACGGGTGGCTGCAAAAGTGGCGCAAGAGACATAGTGTGAGTTTCAAATGCATATCTGGCGAAGCTGCTGCAGTAGATCAAGTTGATGTGTCACAATTTTTGGAGAAACTTCCGTCCATGTTGCTTGGCTACAAACCAGAAGATGTGTACAATGCAGATGAGAGTGGACTTTTTTTTCGCGCATTGCCCGACAAAACTCTGTCCTTTAAAGGAGAAACATGTGTGGGTGGAAAGTTGTCTAAAGATAGACTAACCATTTTATTCTGTGCAAATATGGCCGGTGAAAAATGCGATTTGATTGTGATCGGGAAAGCGGCTCGTCCCCGTGCTTTAAAAAACGTTGCTATTAAGGATCTACCAGCGACTTGGAAATCCAACAAAAAGGCATGGATGACCCGAGAAATCATGTCTGAGTGGTTAGTCGAATGCGACCGGAAAATGAGAATCCAAAAAAGGCAAGTTCTTTTATTTTTAGACAATGCATGCTCTCATCCTCGTGATATGAAAATGAAAAATGTGAAAATTATATTTTTACCGCCAAACACAACTTCTGTTTGTCAGCCCATGGATCAAGGTGTCATACAGAACTTTGAATTTTATTATCGGCACTTGATTTTAAAACATATTTTAACAAAAATTGACGATGGTCAAAGCTTATCTGAGCTTACAAAGTCTATCAATGTGTTAGAAGCTTTGTATTTTATAAAAACAGCATGGAATAAAGGAAATTCCTCTACAATTAAAAACTGTTTTGGCAAAGCTGGATTCAGAAAAAGGGAATGTAGCTCAGAATTTGCTGAGCAAAATTATTGCGATGCTGAAGACGATCTGTCCTTAGCGACACTTGGTCAGTTACTGCGACATGCCAAACATTTAGGAGTAGCAGATCCCCAGAAAGTAGATGATTTCCTGGCCATAGACAATAACATAACAACAGAAGAAAATGCCATTGGCAACTTTTCGAATTTGGATGTAGAAAGCCCAGGCCAACTTGAATATGGTAGTCCAAACGACTCAGAAGAAGAAGTGGAACTGGTGGACTCACTAAGCGGTTCAAAAACGATAAATTCATATGGGGAAGCTCTAAATCATATTTCTATATTGAAAAAATTTGCTAAAGATGATTTCACTGCATTTCAACATTTGAAAAATTTAGAAAGTTATTACGAAAATTGTCTCCTTCAGCAAAAGATGGTGAAATTTCGTCAGACAAACATTTTAAACTTTTTTCAACAAGCTAAAGAATAATGTTTTTTTTTTTAATTCTCGTACCATGTATTGAAGCATTTATGTTTTTGTATGCGTATATGTACATATATTATATAGATATATAGCATAAATACATACTTTAAAAATGTGGCGAGTTTCTGTTTCATTTTTCTCATGATTATAATACCTCATTTCCTCATGATTATATACCCCGTTATTTATACTCTATACCTACATACTCTCTTTTAAACGGACACCTCCCATAAGCGGACAAAAGTTACGGAACCGTGAGTGTCCGCTTATGGGAGCTTTCACTGTATATATATATATATATATATATAGGTGAAAAATTAAAGCTTCCGCCTTTTGTTGGGTACTTCGACAAGATTTAAGCAAAGAGGACTCTTTATACTTTTTTTAATTCTCTCTAGCTTTCAATGGACTTTGCCATCATCATCAGGAGAGTAGTATGTGAGGATGTTGCTAATAGTTGTTTACGTATAGGATGAGGGAAACGTCCAGTAACATGGTGAGAGCTGAATAGATTGCACAATAGTCAAAATTTATACAAAACATGACAAGAACAAGTTAAAAACAGATTAAAAATTATTTAAAAAATTAGAGCATTACATTGTGAAACCACCTGATGATTGCACAAATTAGTGGTCATGGAATCATGGAATCAATATATATATATTGTGTGTGTGTGTGTTATAATCTCTAAATCTATTTAAAAGTTATTCTTGTCAGTTGTCTTTTAACATGCTCCCAGAGATGTTCTATAGGGTTTAGGTCCGGGGATTGCGAAGGCCATGTAAGGAGATTAACATTTTTTTTTAGTCCTTTACGAATTTTGAGGTATGCTTGGGGTTATTATCTTGCTGAAATCTCCATCGTGAAGGCATTTCTTCTTCAGCAAAAGGGAGCGTTTGTTCACTAAGAATATCTTTGTAAAGTTTTTGATCCATTTTCCCAACAATTTTCACAATTGGACCCGTTCCAGAACCAGAAAAACAGCCCCAAACCATGATGTTGCCTCCACCGTGCTTAACTGTTGCCAACTGATACATTTTGTCGAATCTTTTTCGTATTGGACGTCTCACATATGCCTGTCCAAGTTAGATGAGTTTTAGTAAATTCAAGCCAAGCAATACGATTTTTTTTTTAAATGAGAGGCTTTTGCACTGGACGTCTACGAAAAATCCCAAGATCCACCAAGCGTCTCTGCACTGTTCTGATTGAAAGATTCTCGGCACCCTCTTCTACGATTCTTTTGAAAATCTGTGTGGTTGGCATTCGAGGTTCATGGGACAAACGTTTAATGTAGCGATACAAAACATAATCGTTTTTTTTTTCGGTCTTCCGCACCTGGGCCGCGTTGCTGTTGATCCGTATTCTTGATATTTACTAATAATTCCCGAAATCGTCCCTTTGCTCATTTTTAATCATTGAGAAATGTCAGCATTTCTGACACCACTTCTAAATAATTCAATTACCTTGTCTCTTAAGGTGGCACGTCCCTTTTTTAGATTTTTTTCCAAGTTCCTTTTCGTCTGATAATTTCATGGTATGTATATAGAGATGATTAAAAACAATGTTTTCATTTTTTTTATTGTCAAAAAATGCATTTTATTGAGCATTTTTTCTTCAATCGGTACCTGTTAACAAATATAAGTACAGCTCTGAAATTGTGTGTGAATATTGCTCTTTTATGGAAGAATGAAACCAGTGATTATTTTTGTTATCATTTTTCGTATTCGAAAAATCTTTACTTTTTTCGGAAATTCAACCTGCTGCGAGACGAGGCTTCAAGAAAATCAAAAATTTTTCTAAAGGGAAAAGTGATACGAACAAAAGTAATCACTCGTTTCATTTTTCCATAAAAGAGGAATATTCACACACAATTTCAGGGCTGTACTTACATTTGTTAACAAGTTCCGGTTGAAGAAAGAACGCACAATAAAATGCACAAAAAATGCATGTTTAGACAAAAAAAATGAAAACATTGTTTTTAGTCATCTCTTTACACACCATGAAATTATCAGATGAAAAAGATTTAGAATACTGCTGCAAACAGGAAGTTGAAAAGGAATATAAAAAAGGGACGTGGCACCTTAAATTTTTGCCATTCTCACTGATATTAATATTTACCGCACGCAATATCAGAGTATCGCAGAACGAATCAACAAAATCTGTGGTATTTAAAAAAACAACCATCTTTATATTTTCAGATTATTTGAATATTGATAAGATAAACCTTGTATTAGTACGGGATCCAAAGGTAGACTTTAATATTTATATAACCTGTTCCTTCACAATTTTAATTTAGGTGTAGATGAAATAGTTCATAATCATGTTAATATTTGTTTCCAAACTTTTGTCCGCTACTGTACATAAGAAAAACTTGGTGATTGAGAACAAGATCTTGAAATTTAGTTATCTTGTAGAGGAAAGAAAGTGGCATTGTTATTGTGCATTTTATTTTGAAATCCCTTCATAAAGTCAGCAGGAAAATTTAGTTTTTTTTGCGAAATGATAATGGCGAAAGTTTATAAGTGCCATTTTCTTAGAAACCCAAATTCGTATCTTTGATCCCGCTTAAGCGACTTCGTATCTCTTGCAGTTCCCGAGGTCCCAACGGTGAGAGTCGAATTTGAAACACACGGTAGACGGGCATGTACAGGGTGTCTGCGAATAAAGCAATAAAGGAAAATAGAAAATAAATAAAACTGTAACTTTGACACCCTGTATCTCGCAGACTATCAACTTTTGGAGTGAGATATGTTTAGGTCAATTAACATATTTTGGCCTGTAGTATCTGCTGTTTCGAGATTTCCCAACCGTTCGCAGACTGCCTGTATACAGGGTGGCCAATATATACTAAGTGACATATAAATCCGAACACCCAGTTTAAATGGTTTTATTTTAATAAAAGTTGGTGAATGTATTTATCTCACTGTAAATAACAAGTGAAAAAATTTTCAGCCTTATCAGTTGGACATTCCGGTTTTTATACTGCTTTTTTTTAATTCGCTCTAAAAATGAATATTTCAGCCGCAGTAAAGAATCAACGTTGGCGAATTTTGGTTCTTGACATCCTAGGGGCCGTATAGTGGGACTTCGGGAAGCTGGACTTTCTTTTCGGGCAATTGCAGCTAGAGTGCAAAGAAGTGTAGACACTGTGGTTAGGTGTTGTCAGGCATGGCTTCGAGAAGGCCGTACGCAAAGAGCAAGGGGCACTGGACGCCGCCGTAGAACAACAGACCGTGAAGATCGCCGCCTAAGATTATTGGCCTTAAGGGACCGTTTCTCCACTACCAGGTCCATTGCAAATGAATGGTTTGCAGAACACGGAAGACCTATTGGCATGCGAAGTGTTTACCGACGAATGAGAAGTTTTGACTTGTTTTCATACCGGCCACACTGGGTCCTCCCTTTAACTCGAGAACACCGACGTAATCGCCTTGAGTGGTGCAGACAACGGTCACTCTGGGATCAGGGATGGAACAGTATTGTCTTTAGTGACGAGTCTCGATTTTGTTTAGGCATGCACGATGGTCGTGCCAGGGATCGAAGGCGACGTGGTGAAAGGAGGAATCCACAGTTTTTTGTTGAAAGACATGTTCATCACACTGTTGGAGTTATGGTTTGGGGTGCTATAGCTTATGGTTCCAGGTCACCTTTAATCTTCATCAGAGGTAACATGAACGCGCAGCGTTATATCCACGAAGTTCTAGAACCCCATCTTTTACCCTATCTTGACACCCTGGCAGATCCAACTTTCCAACAAGATAATGCCCGACCACATGTTGCAAGAGTCACAATAGACTTCTTTCAACATAATGATGTCATATTGTTACCATGGCCACCAAGATCTCCCGACTTATCCCCAATTGAGCACGTGTGGGATATGATGGGTAGGAGATTGCTCAATTTGCAACGTCCTCCTCAGACTCTAGAAGCACTTCGAGAGGAGTTGGTGGTTGCCTGGAATGAGATACCACAGGAGGACATCGACCACCTGATCAGAAGCATGCCTAGGCGCGTTGGAGAATGCGTAGCACATCAGGGTGCATCCACACATTATTAAAGGTCAAAGGGCTTTAAAGCAGTGAAATCATTTTGAAATTTTTATCATTTACTTATTATGCTTCATTAAGTACTAATAAAACCATTTAAACTGGGTGTTCGGATTTATATGTCACTTAGTATAATTCAATTACTTTGTCTCTAATGTTCATCAACATTATTTTTCCAAATAGCAACCCCTCGGGTTCTACACGTGATTTGAAATACCATTTGTTATTAAATGTATAAACATATTCTTCTCCGTTTTCGAAATATATTGCGTTGTTATTAATTTTTGGCCAAATACACAACAAAGCGCACATTAGTGCTACACAATTTGATGAGATTATAGAAACAGCGGGTCCTCATTTGAAAAAATTTAATTTTTGTATTTTTATTGAATTAATCCGATTTTTTTCAAAGCGTTACAAATCTGGTTTATGCACTAGAATGTTCAGAATTTAAAACTGTGTAAGAACTCATTTTCTACACAAAATGGACCCCTCAATTTTCCAAAGTTAACTTTTCGAGTAATCGTTCCACGATATACTCGATAAATTTCCAACGATAATAACCAAAAATTTATTTTTCAGAAAAAGCAGCTGCCGCGAAGTCGACCGATACCGATAAACCCCGCCTACTTACCTCAAACTGGCCCAGACAGATGATAGCAGTGATTTTAACGCAATATAGGTGAAAGCAACAGTCAAACGTATTCGGGTTCAACTAGACTTGTCTGGTTTTGACAGATATTCTGTGTTATTTTACAATTTAAGTTTAAAGTTCAGAAACGTATAGGATTTTCAGCTTGAACTATTTCAATTCAGAAAACTACGGCAACATAAGTATACAAGGTGTGTTCAAAAATAATAGGAATTGTCGTTTTTTTGAAAAAATATTCATTTAATGTTGTCGCCTTCAAAATAGTCCTCATTAGATATGATGCACTTCTCCCAATCCTCGAAACACTTCTCAAACTTGATCTTGGGGATAACGTTTAGCTTTTTTTAATGTCATATATGCTTGTAAAACCACGGCCCATTAAGGTTCTCTTTATTCTTCGAAATAGGAAAAAGTCACACAGTGCCATGTCTGGCGGATATGGAGGCTGAGGCATCGCTCCAGTATTATTTTTCGCCAAAAAGTCACGAACAAACAATGAAGTGTGAGCCAGAAATTGTTTTTCCACAAAGCCGGGCATTTTTTTTATACGAGGTTTGTCCGAAAAATACGTATAAAAGTGGAATAATAACTTAATTTTACAGATACACTTCTGCGAACGCCGTGTCCACTGTTGATACCAACCAATCCTCACGGCAAGCAACCCTCCTTGCTTTCCGTTCTGGAGTCAAGAGCTTCGTAACGATTTTCGCGCGCAATTTTTTCGTTTCAAGTTTTTCTGGCAGAATTTCGTGGACGATTGTTTTGGGGATTGACAGTTGGTCCTTTTTCCTGTCCTTTTTCCAAACACTCAAAAATCTCACGACCATTCTTGTCTAGCTTTACAAGACACTTGCTCTTCCTCGATCAGAGAGAGCTCCATGCCAACGGCAGGTAAAAAAAGTGCTACTTTCAACAAGCACACTTAAATCCGGTTCGAACTGAGCATAGGGGAGATTGCATAGAGAGAGGGAACCACCGGGCCACCCCTCCACAACGCCCCGAATTTTTTATACGTATTTTCCTGACAAACCTCGTAGGTACTTTTTATTGACCGTAAAATCCTGTTTTACTCTAACAGACTCATCGTAAGCCTTTGTTAACACACACTTTGTTACACTTTATTTCATTTTTACGCAAAATTTGATACAATACAATTGTTTGATCCGTTTCTTTTTACAAACTAAAATTGAAGATCTCGTAAAAACGCGTCTGCCTTTAGCGCCAAAGCATTCAATGAAAGTTTCATCATACTTTACAGACTTTAGGGTCATAATAAAAAAATGACAATCCTGCAGAGTTTAAAAATACCCGTTATTTATTTAACACACCTCGTATATCTAAAACACTCAGCAGAAAGATGTTTTAACTATTGAATTTTATCCGTCTTCGAATATTAATTCTCGCTTAAAATTGAAAAATTTTAAAGAAACATGCTAACGGTAGCTTGAGCTGACGATCCTATACTATGTGTTTGCTAAGGTGTTTTACTCATTTATATAGAAAGTTTTGACAGGATGCTTTATCTGTGAAAAATATTTTGCCACCAATATTGTTTATCGATGCTGGCCGTTGATCACAACATAGCGCTTGTGTAGCGATCACTAAAAGCTTGTCAGAAGCAACCTAACCTCTGAAGGGTCACATGTCACTTGGTTTTTCAGTTGTCAGCTGTCATCTAGACTCAAACATCGAAAAAAAAAATGGTATAGTTAAAGATTTAAGGAAGAATTGTCAGTCCGTTTTATGGCCTCCTTGGTTTTCATAGTATTTTCTCTCCTTCAGAAAGGCTGAGGTACTGTCACTTTGAGCGCAATGACTCCGCGTGAACTGGTTCGATTAGCAGAGCATCAATGAATAATGTACGCCAACGCTAGTCTCCGATAATACTCGTAGATGGCGTTACTTGTATACAGGGTGACTTTGAAGTTGAGTCATTAATTTTCAGATAATGATTGTAGACGGAAGATAAACCAAAATATGTGTGTAAAAATAAAAAAAAAAATAAAAAAATGTTACCTTGTTTTATAAAGTATCCTCCCGACACCTGATTCACGAGCCCTTTGTACTACATTCACAAAGGCACGAGGGGTTCGTTGCACTCGATTGGGAAACCGATCCGCATAAACATGTGCCATTTTTTATTTCGTTTGAGCCACGCAACAGACACTATTCACACGCGTTACCGACTGACAGTGACTGTATGTATAACTGAACTGAATAAAATAATTGTAAAAACATCGTTCCAAATTCTTTCGCTTTTTTGTTTCCGATGCGATGAACCGATGGCGGATTATATCCGTTGTTGCCAAACACGAGCACATAATATTATCTTTGAGACAGGGCGGTACTCAAACTTCCAAAGGGCTATAACTTTGTTACTTTAATTTTACCAGAAAAATGGTAAAGGAAAAAAACATTTCTTTTGATCAGATCTACTCACTGTTAAAATAAATGACTCAACTTCGAAGCATACTAAATAAGCATGTTTATGAAGTGTTTAAAGTTGAAATAATTATTACCTTACATGTTTTTTTTACATTTTGCCATGTATTATTCAAATGCACCTTAGCAAACATAAACAATTGGGTACTCACCACGGAAATGACTGATCTGCCAAATTTTCAACTTTTAGTGAAGTAATTTCATAATTAGTTTATTATAGACAAAAGGGTTTTTTCAGAGATTAACAATAATTATTTTCATAATTTAATTTCTTGTTGGACTGTGATATTTGTTCTTATAGTTAGAAACACCGTATGTCCATCTATTTATAAAAAGTTTTACGCTGTACATAATGAATACTCAAAAACATACTTTTACATAATAGGAAACTTGCCAGACATATATGTTTGATTTTTATTTAATATGCCTGACTTTTTCTTGGGAGGAGAGGAGTAACCAAGATATTACAAAACTAAATTAGTATTCTGCTGAATATGTATAGAATTGGTGACTTCTGGAGCTTTAATTATGAATGATGAGATGATATTTTTAATACTGAGGTTATGTAGCTCTACTGCATTCATATACAGAACAACTGTGATATATCTTTTCGGCAACAAACTTATTTAGTTTTTAATATCTTAAAACGTCCTAAAACCCGAACAGCATCCCATTTTCGTGGGAAAAGTGTTCACAAATATTTCTACGCAAACTTCTAGGCGGGGTTAAAATATTAAGACATATACAGGGTGTCCCAGAAGTCGACGTCAAGCCGAAACCGGGTAATAGGCAAAGTCATAACAGCTATCAGAAAAATATTTAAAAAAATTTTATGTATGTGTTTTGAAAATTATAGGTCTTTGAAAAAAATAGAGAAATTTCACACCCTAGGGCAGTCTGTCAACTCCTGTTACTACAAATATTAACTTTTTTTGGATTTTATTTTTACAATGTAATGATGAATAATGCATCTTCAACCTTACTGCCAACTTTTCTCGTTCAGGAAAAATTGCCACTTATTTCCCAACCAAGTATTCCAAAGTAAAACTTTACTCAACTTTAACTGGCTGTACAGGAAAAAAATGTACTACGAGAGTTTGGCACCTTAAAAGTTGGCGCATTTAATAAGGATTCCAAAATGGTATAACACTTAGAAGATTACTCGTTAACTTATGCACAATTTTTATTTGAAGAAAAACTGATGAAAATTTTTCAAAATTTCCTAATTAAACAGCGATTATGAAAACGCACAAGGACCCTTAAGGATAACTGTTTGCACAACAGTGGGCGTCAAAATGCTGCTAATGATGATTTACCTTTACAGCAAATGCTCAAACTGTTTTCCTTCAGCCGCAATACACGCTCGACATCTTAAAAAAGATCGGGTTATTAAACGAGCGAATCCACGGTTATTAACAAACTCAGCTGCTTCCAATAGTCTTTGCCGTAGCTCAGCTACATTTTGAATCGGCTTGAAATACACTTTTTCTTTTACAGTTCCCCAGTAAAAAAAAATCTAACGGATTCAAATCTAGTGACCGGGCTGGCCACGGTAGTGTACCAGACCGCCCTATCCATCTACCTGGAAAGTTTTGATCGAGATACTCTCTCACTGAGAGTGCATAGTGCGCTGGGCAGCCATCATGCTGAAACCACATGTCCCTGTAAATACTCAATGGCACGTCCTCCAATAAATTTTCTAAATGATTTTGCAAAAAACCTAAATAAACTTCAGCAGTCAAAGTCTCTAAGAATTCAAACGGACCGATTATTTTACCTTTTAAAATTTCTGTCCAAGGGTTTATCTTGAAGCGATATTGAGATTTATCTTCTCTCATCAAATGTGGGTTTGCTACGTGCCACTCGTGTAAGTTATGTAGGTTCATGTACCCATCTTTCTTAAATGTGGTCTCATCTGACCTTAAAATTTTTTCAAAGAACCGTGGATCTTCCCTGTATCTTTCTAACATTGTGCGACAAAAAGCAACTCGGGGCTCATAATCCCGGGGCAGAAGAGCTTGAACACGCTGTACGTGGTATGGATGGAGCACGTTTTTTTGCAAGATTCTATGGGCTGTACTTTTGGGCACACCTGTTTTTAGTTCTATTGCACGCACTGAAGTACTCGGGTCTTCCTCGACAGCTCCTAGCACCACGTCTTCGTAGGGAAGGAAAGATCTTCCCTCACCGTGTGATTGGTTTGGTAGTTGGCCCTCTGAGAACAGTAAGCGGTGCACATTTGTGAACACTCGATGATCTGGATGACGAGCTGCATTCGGGTACCTCTCACAGTAAAGTCTCGCTGCAGCACTAGCGTTGCATCTGCATTCCCCATAAATGAGGTGCATGTTAGCATATTCTTGTACGGTGTACACGGACATAGCGGCACTACACAATCACACTATCAAAGATAGTCTAAGGAAAGCAAATGTTGTTTTGAAGAGCAATTAAACAGTCCAAATCCAAATCACAAGCGATCAACAGTCCAGTTCATGAATCCAAAATTAGTAACAGTACGAAATCAACAAGCACGAACATGTAAAGATGCGCAATAAACGAAGGAGTACTGATCGGTATCAAAGTGTGCAATAG